GTTCCCCTGCCTATTCATCTGTGACGCAGCCCACCTCATTGATTTTACATGCGAGTGAACACCTCCGGCTTTTCTGTTGAAATTTGCCACCTCAGACTTAAACAAGACAAAGACTGAAGGAAAAAGCAAAATAATTTAGATTTTCTTTTTTTTATCAGTTTCAAATCATTCAGATTTGTAAAGAGGGACACAGAATGCAAGATTGATTTACTTTAGAAAGAAATTTCGAGTAAATGTACCTTTAGTTTATATGCAATTTATTTTAATATGGACCTTTTTGAAAACACTTGCTTGCGTTTTAGGCGATAGAATTTGGGCAAACATTCCGAGTACCCCAGGGGAAACCCTGGTCTCCACTGATTTACATGAGCCAATTTTGTTACTGTACATGTAACAAATACTCTCCTGTGGCCAGAATTACCTACCTTGGGAACAGAAAATATTCTGAAGGAATAAAAAGCCAGACTGAGCCATGAAAATCATAGAAAAAATTAAGTGCGTGGTCAAACAATATAAATGTACAAATATATCAATCTAATTTTAATAAGTTTATGCGAGCCATGTTTGAAACAGCAAACGTCTAAAATAGACATCAGACAGCATCCGATCCATTCACTTATAAATGGGTAATTCCAGAAATTAAGGGTCCATTTTTTTTCGTGTCCCTGTCACATCTGACATATGATTTTGTAAGATTTCTGAGAGTGATGAATTAATGCAAATTACCTGCCAAACAAAAAGTAATAGTTTAAAATCAATTCCGGTGATATTTCCACGTCAAATAACAACGGTCAGATGTAACAGGGACACAAAAATGTCACACTTTTGGACCCCTGATTTCTGGAATTACCCAAATATGAGCACTACATGTACATTTATGTTGATGATCTACAGAACACACGTCAGACAGTTAACGGTGATCCTAACACCAACTTCATGTGTTTACCGATAGATGTACACGTACGTATTGTCCATGCCTTACAGACGGCATGCTTTATTACTCTCAAGCAAGAATTCCTTTGATTGTATGTATAATTCAAATTGTCTCCTCAATTTTAAGAAAAGTCAGGAGGAACATACCACTGGCAAGGCGGGCGATTAATCCCAAATTGGGTGGCGGTAAATCATGGTGTGTAGTCCAGACGCTATCAACCATTAAAACAAAGAGGGCAGTAACTGCTACAAATCCTGGGGCTTGACACCCATTCCAAGCACGTGCCGCTGGTCCCGAGAACCGGACGGCCGATACACAGACAGGGACCCCAAATCAAGTGTGTCAGCTGGTCGGGCCTCGACAGAGAATGACGTCGTCGAGGGGGAGATGTAATCAGATGCGTACAGCGTCCGTGCATAGAGTACAGTCCTCACACACAGACAGACACACACACACGCTCACCCACACAGTGATGTGGTGGAAGCCTGTATATTTAAAAGCGTACATACCGATTGCACACACTGCAATCGATGCAAGGCCTTGATTTTCAATTAGAATTTCTCCCCCCCCCCATCGTTTTTCTGTTTTGCCCCGCGGCGCACAGTAGATCGAGTCGGAACCGGCATGCCAGGGATTACGTCAGAACCTGTGACGTGATGAACTGTGTGGGGGCCGGTGCCCTACCCCTCAATGGGCAGATCGCAGCCCGTCGTCCATTATGTCTCCACTTAACACCCATTTCAGAAAAAAGGAAGGGAGGGGGTCGAGAGTGCGAAAGCCATTTGCGGAAATGATACGGGAGACGGCACAAGGGGACAATTAGATGTTTGTCCACGGTACTAACTTGGTCAGAAGTAATGGTGCCGAAGGAAAATAAACACAGCATGACAGGACATGGACGTAAAGCACATTTATAGGACAGCCTTTCTTGCATCCGCTCCTGACTGAGATCTTGGAAACACAGTTTGCCTGCATCTTTGTGTTTCCTCTTTTGGTGTGAAGGTCTGGGTTTGGTTTCAGTTTACAGCTTTAAAAATATCGAATGCAGAAATGCTTTCACGTATATATCTCTGCAACAATGAATACATTTTGGCTTTGAAGTTTGCCGAATGCAGGAAATAAAATTAGATTTAGAACGTCAATTCGGACCATTTCAAATAAATCACGATGTTAGTCTTCAGGACCCCATCAACTAAAAGAAGGTCTCGATTGAAATTCAAGCATTAATCTTCTGTCTCCACACAACATCACTCATTCAGCCAGAAGTGGGAGATGGAATCGGGATAGCGAGCTAGAAATTTTTGAAATTGGATTTTTAAAAAAAACTTCGTAATCTTTTTCAATTTGTCAAAAATCAAAGATGAGATTGAAGGAAAGCGAAATATCCCCGACATATTTCATCAGAGGTTTTGAGGGCCTCCACAGTAGCATAGGATCTGAGGTACACATTTAGGTTCTCGTGTTACATATCAACTTTTACATGTCAAAACACCTTTATGATAAACTCAGGTTTTTCCAGACTTAAAAACAGATTGTCTGAAAAATCCTGCAACCAGGAATATTCTGAGGAAAAGATCATGAAATCCCCCAAAAAATCCAGACAAATCTCACCCCGGAAAACTGAATTGATCAGAATTCAGCAATTCCGATATTCTGTGGAATATTCTCTTTCTCTCAAACAACAACAGCAGAAAAAGGAGGGTAGTTTGAGTTGCCGAAAAAAAATGAGACGGATACGGCAGCTGTAATTTTTTCAAATGATTGTTTCTGCATCCAAGCCCTAGACAACATCATCCATCGTTAACAGATCTTCCAAAAAAAGAACGTGCATAAGCAAGAAACCGGAAAAAAAAAAGAGCGCAGGTCTCCCTCTCGATTGTATCTTTATTGCAGAGTGGACGGGAGAAGGCGCCACATTCTCGTTGGCAGCTTGCTGTGTTTGGGGCTCTGTAAAGTGGAAGGCTTGCGAGGGGAAATGGGACGATGGGCACAATCTTCCGAGAAAATGTCCATCGACGGGCAGGAGTGAAGGAGGGGATGTAACAGGGTCGATTGATGGAGATGTGGGGGCTGGGGGGGTTGGGAGATAAACATGGAGCGAAATGAACATCGAAGGGAGAGGGGCAGATGATGCTGTGTGATACACACGTACTGTACATTTAAATGCGTGTCTCGATTTATGGGGTCGGAGACAAATTACTTGGGTACAGTTCTCAAGTGGGCTTTTACATCCAGCAATGGTATTCACGCATGGAATTGCACAATCTGAAGGTAATCTTTTTAAAATTAATTGCCGGTACATATAATTAGGTCAAAATGAAATCTAAACAGTCTTTTTCAGATACTCATAATTTGTATTCAGAAAAGCAGACAGAGCTGTTTGAATGGCACATAAATAAAACCATTGATAGTTCCTATTTATTTCCCATCTACAGGATTTGTATAAGGGTTTCGTCTTACATATGTACTGTACGAGTACCTCAAAAGTACAGCAATATACTTGTTTCGTTAGATGGGCCCACAAAAACATCTTTTGCAGGTTTAAGTTTATCAGATTTATTGATCAAAGTTCTGTTTGCAAAACTGCCGTGCCCTTGGCAGCATCACAAGATCAAGGCCTGTGGCTCGCTTAAGCAACCAATCTTCCCAACCTGAAGATCAACCTTGCTCCAATTTTCTTTCTTTCATTTAAAGGAGGAGCATACGGCTACTACAGGTTCTACAGGAGAGCCGTTTTATGGACAGCTTGCTGAGCCTCTTCTGCAATGGCTGACCGATATACCAGAGTCTTCATGGAAACGGCTAAGTGCCGAGCAAACAAGGCGGTGTGTGTTTTGTTTTTGTTTTTTTCCGAACAGGCCAATCATTCAAGCATGGGAACGTAACACATGGTGCTGACACCGAGACTCTGCGACCGACTAAAATGAGGAGATAATGGAAGTGGACTTTTGACTGCGGATGAGCCAGCATCAAATGTTGCCTACATGTATTAGTTTGAATCTACTATTTTCCCCTTTGGCCCTCAATTGGCGAGACAACATTAACATATTCTGATCTTTCCTTTCTTAAATGCATCACACCTTTCAAATGGGAGCATCAGGTCGACCACATGACTACAGACACACATTTGCAAGTGCGTGATGCGACTTACAATTCACGAACAGTAATCTTCACCAAAAAATGTGGCGCTTGCAAGACGATTGAAATCCAAATAGAATAACCTAAAAATTGCCAAATGTTCTTTTCCAGGGCACTATGTGAATGTCTCAAAGCTCTTAATTAATGTGTACACCATCTCCACAACAATTACATGTACCCTGAAAAATCCACAAAAATCTTCCCAACTTCAAAGTAAAAATTCCATCAACTGCCAACTGCTATGTTGCCGCTCGCTCACTGTTCCATTGTTTTTTTCCTTTGTGCTGGAAGAACAGCTAAGAGTGAACTGATGTACAAGAGCACCTCAACCGTTGCCAGCATGAATGGCTGTTTCCTTTAACAGATTTCGTGGCCCCGAGGCCATGACATTTTTAATATCATTCCGGCATTCCAAACCACGTTCGGCATATGAGCGCACACGCGTCCCGGTGGTCAAGAGGTTTCCGAGTGTGTTGTTTCACCCTGAGCGATCCGACCGAGTTTTTCATTTTCGCAGTGTTTGCTGCGCAGCTTGGCTGCGAGCGTGTTTATTGAAATCCGTATGCCGAATGAAACGCTCCTCAATTATGAATCCCAATAAATGAGACTTGGGCTAACCATGCAGCAGTTTATCTTATTTGAATGGGATTCAATTTCCTCACAGAAATGTGGCGCTGTGAATTTTTTTGGTTGGGTTCTTCAGGTATAATTTGGTCCTCCTGAGAGTTGAAAATTTGAGTCGGGTTTGAGAGTGAGTCCTCGGTCAGAGAAAGAATTTGACTCTGAGTAAAACTTTTAAGTTCTTGGGTCAAAAAAGGTTACAAGTACTCCCACTGTAACATGGTTTGGGGGATTTGGACAGGTGGTCTTCCAAGCAATCCATGTTTGGAGATGATCCCTGAGCCAGGAGTGAGAGGTCGGTACTTACTCTATCTCAGAGAAGGACCCCTTGGGTGCATCCAGTGTAATGCGAAGTTCTTCTACTAGCATCTGAGCCTCCTCAAGACTGATCCTGTTGCACACGAGGACGAGAAGAGAAGACGGAACATTGGTGAATGGCACAGTTTGGAAATCATGAGGCACGGCGTTTGGGATTGTCTAGGAGGGGGGGGCAGGGGTTTGAGCAAGAGCGGGGTGATTTCAATAATGGTGGGAGTTGAAATGGGCTGGTAGGCAGGGTCATAGAGGTCCCTGGGGGGAGCTCTGTGATTTGATGGGGGTCTACAACTGCTGTGAGCAAGAGTGTTTTGAAATGTGAATGAAAATGTCTAACAATGTCCTTCCTATCTCTTCAAGGACATGACTGATACATTTCATCCATGTTCTCCAGGATAAGGATAAAAACACAAATGAGGCCAGCAATTTTTTTTTTTTTGCTAATTGGATTATGAACACAGCCTCAAGTTTTGCAAGGTCAGAGGACTTACGTTTTCAAATAAAACTCCACAGTTTGATTTTCCCCTGCAATCAACTTATCTAGTATCGGAGGAGAAAAAAAATTTAATTCTGGTCCATGGTTTTTTCCCCAAACACTAAAATAAGAACCATTCGGAATGAAATCATGTCATTTTTATAGAATTTTTTTTCCTAAACTTGCACTCTTTGGAGTGGGCAGGCTCGTAATCTAACAAATAAGAAAAAAAAAACGTTGGCCTGCGGATTTCCATGTTCAGATATACATCTACGGCACCTACCAATACACGATACATACAGTGAACAGAGGACACCACAGTGAATCATTTGCCAGATTCGGACCCGAGAATGCACATCAAACAATCCACCACACCGTACACGGCGCAGTATTTTTCATATCAAACACATGGACCTCTAGGAGCCACACATGTCATGCACTGGTGGTCACACGCTGTGTGAAACCTTGACTAAATGCAGTGCAGAGTTCTACACGCATACAAGCACGTGTGCCGTATCCTGTCGCTAGTCAACATCGTCCTCCCAGACCGGACTTACCCACACTACAACTCACAGCGACTCGCGACTGTTGCTCCAGACAACTGGACTAAATAAAAAGAGCTCTCCTGTGTATGACTAATAATGTACACATGAATGCTGCCGGAATCTCTGATAGAATTGTTGGATGGGCTTAGGCTCTCCAGTGCCCCAAGAAATTATAATGTGGACTTGGGAAACAAATGCAACATATGTCCGCAGAATGAATTATGCAGAATGAATTATGCACAATTTGTGTGCCACGTACATGAACGCCTAAAGCCTCGTACAAATCCCTACCATACGGTCGAGTTGGGATTTACTGGTACTGTGGAAATGGCTTTGAATTCATTCATATCATTGATTTGGAATGCAAACACAATAGCAACTACTTACAATGCGACAGTAACCATACACAATGCAATAGCAACAATGTGCAGTGCAACAGTGACCATGTGCAATGCAATCGTAGTCAGGTGCAATTCAATAGTAACTATTTGCAATGCAATAGTAACCAATGCGCAATGCAATAGTAACTATGTGCAATGCAAGAGTAACCATGTGCAGCGCAATAGTAACCATGTGCCATGCAATAGTAGCCACATGCACTGCAAAGTGCAGGACTTTGTTTCAACCCAGACTCACTGGGTACTGTTGACAGAAACCTTCTGGATTCCTCCAAAATCTTCCACTGTGCAGGAAACCACTGGCACTTTCTACATGTACATGTACATATCAACTTTGCAACGGGCATTAGGTCATAATACGAAGTACTATAGACTTGGCCGTACATTGCAAACCCTCACGGTTACCACAGAAATCTGGAAATCAAATCCTATGAATTTTCCTGGGATTTCCCTGGACTAAACTAGGACAATTTTCCAAGGCATTTAATGCCATCTTGCAGAAAACAGTTGTTTGGTATTATGAACTAGCAGACTGCCACAGCCAGCATTATACAGATTGATAAAGATACGGCCGGCAAATGTATCACAGTTCCTTTATCGCATCAAAAGTGGCCCATCAAAAATAAACCTTGTGTCCTCTTGATTTCCGTAACTTTTTCCGCGGCTGTTTTCCTCTGACAACAGGATGCCAGGACTCCTCTTTTCCCTGATGGGAGGGAAGAAATGTGAAGGAACATAAAGCAATTGGAAAATGAGCTCATTCTAAGAGATTTGCATGAGGGTCTGTCAAATGTCCCACTCAGAATAAACACTGTTACCGTAAATATACATCAAGGAAAATGCATCCACCAGACACCCACGATCAATAAACTCCTGATTGGTCCTTTCCAGCACAATTTTCAAATGCTTGTTGGGGGAGGTGCACACACAAGGCTTCTGGCATTTTGTGTAATAATTTTCAGGAATGCATATACCATAGGAAATGTCTATCAATACTTAACGTAAAGTGAGGGGAGGCCTTTTCGTACTTCAACATTACTGTTTATATGTGCATTATCCCTGGCACACACAGTGGCGTGTGCTGTGATAGATGCACTTTGCCATTTTTCATATTGTCACAAGAGGGCCTCCTTTGCTCTCCTTGCACACTAGAGCCACACCACAGACACATAAACCCATAAATCACAAGTCTTGGGTGTATAACTTTTATTTTGAAAAGCGTGGGCAAGCACTGGGCGAAACGATGGATGTCAGCATGTTCAGTGCGAATTGCGCGTGACAAACTCAGATTGAAGATATTTGTTTATGTGAGCTCTAAAAAAATTTTCCTTTTTTACTCTTTGGTACGGCTACCTTTTTTTTTTTTCAAACGGCCAGATTAGGCCTAAGTAAACAGGAGATTTTTTTCACAATCCAAAAATGGCTTCATAGAATTTAATGGCTGGAATTCTTCAACTGTGCGTGAATTCCCTATACCGAGGGGTCAGTTTGCCCACACTTTTGGATTTAGTCGGGTGCCGTCTTGGCTGCAGCACCCCGTCGTTGTTTTGAATGGGAACTGCCTGTCTATATATGTCTGTGAGCCACATACAGCTCCCTATTGATCATGTGATTGATCACATGATCTCTGGAGCCTCTCCTTATCGATTTGTCCTTTTGCCTTCGCGCAGCGAGCTGGAGACTGGAAAGGGCACTTGCATAAATTACACATATTTTTGCTAGTGGGTGCATCACTCGGTCAAAATGGAGTTATGTTGTTGCAATTTCGAATGTTGTACAGATTTTGAAGGTTAAAGACTTTTAAAAAGAAGGGGGCAGTCCTGGGACTCAGAAAGTCTTCCTTCACTGAAATCGCAACTTTTTTAAAGGAACACAGTGTAAGTATTTGCCAAAAGGGGGGACATTTGGCCATTCGGAGCGATTCTGTATATTATCCTGTTTCCCCAAAGTAAAAAGAAATTGTCCCTGACAATTTCAAATTCCCGATGCTGAATTCGTGAAAAAAAAAGTCACCACTGCTCCAAACCCACATCTTCATGTACATGTATGTAATCAGAAGGGGAATGGGGAGTCAGGTTGGTCTAGTGGCTCTTTCTTCGCCCTCCATCTCTGGGACCCGGGTTCGAATCCCACCTAGGTCAGTATGTGGATTGGGTTTTTCAGTCCCTGTCTGACTCAGTGGGTTTTCCCTGGAATATTCATCCTGGGTTTTCCTCTACAACTGAACATTTCTGCACCGTCTTCTTAATATCACCCTCAGTCCTGTAACTGGCGCCAAACCCACTGTTGGGTGAACAGATACAAATGAACAAAAATTGGACACCATTTTTTTCAGCTCATTCCAACTGTGTTCTTTGATAGGATATGTTGAAATCAATGCTCAAGAAATATGGAAACATTTCAGAAACTGTGCACTTTGTTTACAGTGCTTCACAGGTGCGCATAAGACCAGGCGTGTCCAGTTTCCAGAGATTCTCATTTGTCCAACACAGGTCAGTGTTGAGGGTTCCGTGCAACGTACATGCACTCCCTCAAAGGTGGAGTGAAGGGATACATGCGAAGTGTGATGCCCATCAGTTGTTGAAGAGCAATGTGTCCGGCCAGGAAAAAAAAACAAACATGTAGTCCCTGGTGACTGCTCTGTCAAACCACTGCTAGTTTATGGCCTCGTTATTTTCTCAAGGTCTTGAAAAATTAATGCCTTAATAACCGCGGAATCCGGTGCTGGGCTATAAATATGACAACCCTGCCAAAAACGAAGACGGGACAAGATTACCGCTCTGAGTCTTCGACACACGGCAACCGACAAATGACAGCTTGTAATCAGAAGTGGACTAGGACCATGCAAAAACCTTTCTGCGGGAGTTAACAAAGATTGGGTAGTGTAGAATATCACAGAATGGCGAAATATGAAAATGAAAATATGCAAATAAGGTAGGGGCATGCGCGTGACCGCCACTACTTGGCAAAGCTGCTTAAATCTATGACGTAATAATACAAATCTCCATGTGCAACTACAAGCACATATACACTTTTCTGTACGTACACAGTTTGACATGAGTGCCAAACTCAACGACAAGGAATTGTAACCTCCAACTTCGGAACACTGAAAACTTCACTCACATGTAGTTTCAAGAAAGCGCGCTGAAGTATCAGACAAAGGCTGTGATATGCTCTTGATTGACCTTCAACACACTGGGTTACGGTTACAGCAGCTCTCCTGCACTGCCGAAAGTGTTGACGGCCACGCTTGCCAACCAGTGGCAGCGGTGCGCATGCGCCCGTCTAATCTGCATATATCAAGGGTAAGGTCCACTACGACAGACACAGTCCAGGGGATCACAGTGCACTGTGCCAGCAAGTGCGAAAAATAACTGGCCCCTGACGGTTCCTCTGTGCAGTGACGGCGTGTCAAGATTTGGATATGCTTGACAGGCCTGGGCGACACATTTTTGGTTCCTGGCCAGTAAACAAGCCAACAATAGCCTACATGAACCAAATCAGAATTTGCCTGGCCTCACGTTCTCTGCTGTTGCTGTTGCCGGCTGGTACTGAAAACTCTCTACAAAATGGCCCCCTTCACCTTTTCTCACACACCTGTAGCTATAAGGTCAGCCGAATTAGGACATTTCCGTGACAATGAGCCCACAAGTACAGTTTTGAATTTTTACAGATGAAAATCAATAATCAGGGATCGTGACCCGTGTGTTAAACTCGGAAATGGGAATTTTCTTAATCTGATGCACTCTCTTCCGTCTTGGTAAAATTAATTATGATTCACATTTGGCTTTGTGCACTGCTAATTGAAAGTAATGACGTCAACGATCACGGCGGCCGGATACTGTTATCAGAATAATCACGGCATGTCTTGATGACAAGTCACGATTTGCATTCCCCTCTAAAACATTGGAGTCTAAAGGGAAATGACAGCGGACAGCGTAAGACCAAAATACCGGTATATATCATGCTTTCATTTGTGTATATCACTGATAGTTTAAATTGACGTTTGACAAATATAACTTCTGACACATTTCTCCCTAGTGGCCACAGCAAAGCTCTTTAAAAAAAAAAAATAGACAGCAGTAAACGGCTGGATTAATATGATAAATGTTCAATGTGGCCAGTCAAATGGAAAAAGCTGATTTGTTTTCACCTCACAAATGTGACCGGTCAAAAAAAACAAGTGAAGTCTCAAGGCCATTTTTCCAGTTTTTCTGTTTTAGTTTACGTCAGACGAGGGCACTGGACCCTTTGTTTTCATGTCCACATACCATCTCAGTCTGGCATCCTGATGAAGGTGGACATTGTGCAGGTGAAAACTCGTGAGAGTTCCTACTGATTCATACTGTGTAGGATTCTGTTCATACAGAACATTACCTCCAGGGCAGCTTTGGCAACTAGCGATTCATCCTGTCAGGCTAGGTCAGAAACGCTTAAGTTTGCCGTTACCTGTCAGTTATGCTAATTTGTTTAAACAGTTTCCAAAGGTTGCAATTGTTTGCCTTGTTCCTTTTTGCAATTGATGATCAAATCAAATATCTGATTTTATGGGGGGGGTAACTTTTCAGTAGATTACTCCCACATGTAAATTTGAAAGTCACAATTTGCTTGTTGTTTTTTCCCAACGATTCTACGTCAAAAACTGTATAACTGGTCATCTTGGTATCAAATATCCCTGGAACACGGCTTCTGCTTGAAGAAAAAAAACGGATTGTTCTATTTTTTCACAGACTTTTGAACGGAAAAGAAAAGAAGAAGCTCTTGAAGAGAGGTCAGACAGTGGACAAGCCGAAAATAAGGAGACACCTGACGGCTGTTTTTCTTCAGAGATGTCTTTCCACAAATACATGAAAACACTTGAGGGGTAAAGTGCCCTTCCTCAGACCTGCCTAAGCCTCCCCTGGAGAAAAAGGGGGGGGGGTTCAAGAACTCTCAACTATTGCTGGGTGATTTCGAAAAACTCATGTATCGATCAATCCAGTTCTGATTTGACTGATTATTTGGGCTGCCTTCGTGAACACTTCTGTACTGATGAACATGCGAGTCACTGGCAATTTCAGGAATTCATTTTAATTTGGGTTCAGCAAGCATCAGCAGCACAAGGGTAAGTAAGTACACCATTCAGACATTCTAGGGGTTGACATTCTCTTAGAACTTTGCGATTTGCCACACTGAAATTTCCTGTTTCATGTTCGATGGCAATTCCAGATTTCATTAAAAGTGAAATGTTCCTTTCATTTTACTCACAGGTACATTTTTAATTTGTATATATTCTCTACATTTTATTTTAGTTTTGTCATTTGTGCTTACTTATTACACAATATTTATGGTTTTTCATTGTGTTTTTCTTTAAAATTTGCATTAAGCCAATTTTTTTTTTCCAGCTTACATTCAGTTTGAACTCTTCCTCCGTTATTAAAGTAATTATTTTAAATACCAACCATATGACGACAATTCATGTGTCACTTCACAGAACAGATTATTTTGAAACTTACCAACCAATGCTTCACGGATGATATTCCAAATGCATGTATTTTCCAAACAAAATAATTTCCTACAGTAAGTATGGGATTTGGATGAATAAGCATGTAAGTCAATGTTGTAAACACGGTCCTCATTTAAAGAGACAATAAAGTGTACCTCCCAAATTAGCCACTCGCCCAGCGTGCATTTTGGTGATGTAAACAGCCCCAAAAGTCAGTTTTCTCTCTTCAGTGGTCATGATATCGATGGCAATTGATATCTTGCCTCTAGCGTATTTCCACAGCTAACTTGTACATTATAAATCCATTTGGACTTTTGAGGTAATGACGACAGTGTGTGCACCCTTCTTGTACATGTACGATCCCCTGATGATGTCTGACTGCTTGTCTCTGTGTGGTAACTTGACACAGGGGCACCTGCCTGTGACTCCATGTGCAGTGGAATGAAAAACAAATAGTTGAGCACCCAGCAGAAGAGTTGCGCAATTATTACGGCTTGGGTCAGGAGCAAGCTTTGTGAACACGCGGATATACACGGGGTACGTATATACATGTACCTACCTGCAGCAAAGGCTGCGCAATTGAAATCATTTAACGGCTCTTAAAGCACAAGTACCAGTTTAAACCTTTTGTTCTCTTGTACAATGGACAATAGTGGAGTGAAGGACGTGGTTTAACTCGGAGAAATGACTCAAAAGGTGGAGATGCTTTGAGTCGAACGGGCAAGAGGCCCAATCCAATCAAAGAATCTCCGTCTACATGTACTGTATCTTTCTCGTCATTTATATTATCACTGATAACGATTTATCGATTAACCGCATAATTCCACAGCATTTGCTTTGCCATTACCTAGCTGCAATACTGCCAGTCAGGCACTCCACCTGGATGCCAGGGGAATACCAAACCCTACCTGATGAAAAAGGGAAGAAGTTAGTCTATTTTCCAGCCCATATTACACGTACATACTGGGGAGATCACCAAAGCTGCCTGGATCAGTGTATCCTAAGTCACAGTCCATGAATCAAACCAGTCATTGTTCCCAAATCCTCTGTTACGCTTCCTAGCCCTAGACACTTTTCTGACCTACCCAAAGTCATTACTGAGCAGGAAACCAGTGAAACATTGCTTGCATACCAACAAAATTTGAAAAACCGGTGACAATTAGATTGTGATCCATCAGCAATGTTGAGACTACCAGTGGCTATTAAGCCACCCCCCCCCAAACACCAGTTTGGATCCTCAACTACCCCTTAGCTGCCCCCCAGGGAGAGAGCTTTTTCCCGGCTGGATCATTCTAAGAATTAGGGGTCCAATTTCGTGTGTGTCCCTGTCACATCCAACATATGATTTTGTAAGTTCAGAACGCCTTCTCTAATTTCTACGAGTGAATTACCTGCCAAACACATAGTAATCACTTGAAATCAATTTCAGTGATATTTCTACATGTATGTCAAATTACACAGGTCAGGCAGGTGTAACAACAGCACAAAAATGTCACACTTTTGGACCCCGAATCCCAGCTGTGATTTAGAGGACATTTTGAAAGTGGTCGTTCATGGAGTTTTTTTTTTAAAGGAGCCCCCAGGTTTAACCAAAAAAAAGGAGCTTGGACGAAAGGCATCTCTGGGGAAAAAGGACACGAGCATTGAGGAAGGTTTTATGTCCCGGCCTGCGAAATTTCAATGAGTATTACTGCACTTTCAGTCACCGTGGCTCTGTCATCCATTAGAGCCCAAGACCGTAACCACAATCTGCCCCATGCTGATACAGCCTCCGAGTTACAGCAGCTTTTCCCGACAGCGTCTAAAAGACTCCTCGTCCATTCTGTCTGACAGCTATCATCTCGGTATTTTTAAGCACTCCCTACATTTCTACACAGTATTTGATTTTGCTGACAGATCAATGCTTTAAATTCTATCAGATATGAAAACTACTTTGCTGAAGCAAGGCGCTCAATTCTTCAGGTGGGCAAAGGGCAATGTATGCAACCTTTCTCCTGCATTGATTTTTTTTTTGAATTCCACTTGACATGGGTAGGGGCCTTGGTGACTAAACAGTCGTGCTTACAGTGTCAACGGCGGTTAACATTTTGACAGACTTGAGTATTTTTCTTTTTTTTGGTGAAATGTTTCCGGAGAGTCTTTGCGTTTGATACTAGGCATTTGTGCTGTGTGACACATGCACAAGATCTGCTGGGGGGGGGCACAAAAATGGTACTAATTTGCAAACCTTCACGGCTTCTTTCTCTGTGTGCACGAGTGGCCACAAAGCCATTTCGTCTCCGGACTGAGGGAAATCCCAATTCCAAGCATCAGAGGTTTGAAGTGGAACTGTTTATTCTACACCCTGCAACTAACAGGAACCACTAGTTTCTAATACTGGGGTGGCGGGCTAGATGTACAAGTCGATGTAGACAGGACCAGCAAGTGGATTCGAACCCCTGACCTCCCAATTAAAAGCCACAGGCACAATACCACAATACACAGAACCAGAAAAACAAAGGAGTATTTACCCAGATTGTAGGGCGATAAAGACGTAGCCACTGGGAGCAAACGTCGTCTGCTGGGAGGTGGTTGGTTTGGTAGGGGGTACGGTCGGACCCTTCTTGGCAGGCTCTGGTGTTACCACGGAAAATGCATCTTCGAGAATAAAATAGAAAAACACCCATGACAGATAGTGACATCACTCAGTGCTTCATTCAAGTGCTAGACTATGGTTGGCGCATGCAATGGCTTGTGAGCATTATCGAACGAGGGCGCTCTCCAACTAATTCTGTACGCACAAACAGAAACAAATGCACACATGCTGTGACGTCTGTGTGTTCATTGAGTACAATTTCAAACATCTACCATTTCTTGTACATTTATTTTTCGGCTCCAGCTGAACACCGAACTTAACAACTTCTGTGTAAACTAGAGTGATTTTTTTGGAGTGGGATTTTGTTTCACTATTCAGGACTGATTTATGAAATCAGCCTCTCACTGCTGGAATGGAGGTCAAGTACATGGATGTGCATTTGTTTCTCTCCGTTCATGTACGTGCACATGGCTACCTTGTTCAGTATCATGAATTTACCAACTGTTTCCATCTTTTGGAACAATTCTACAGGCAAGTACTCAAGTTGCTCGGAACACGAGTCGTCCCAAAAATGTAAGCAGAAAGAAGAGAAGAACGCTAATGTGAATTAGCCAGATGTGAAGTTATTTGCCCCCAACTACCTGCTGTTAAAATCAACCGTGGGGAATTTTCAACATGCAGTTCATCCCATGCAAGCCTCCACCTTTTTATGCTGAACGTTTTATTTGCAAAAGTTTTTCCCTCGTCTCAGACGGCAATTATTAATTAACTTACATGTCAATGCACATATATGATCCTGGGGGGGGGGAGGAAGAGAGTTAGTGGATTGAAAAAAAAAATGAAAAGCATTAGAAGGAATTTCACTTTCCGTTTGAGTGGCAAAAATCATAAGGAATTCTGTGGAGACAGGTTTAATCAAAGGTATCGTATTCCTCAAGTGAATTAAAAAATAATAAACTCAAATTGAAATAAAAGATGAGGGATCGCACTGACTGCTCCGCACAATATCTGTGAAGTATGCCCCGTTTGGTCCAAATATTTATTTCCCTCTTGTGTTGCCTCATCAAATGGAGCTCCTGCACGCAGCATTTTCGAGTCAAGCTCAATCAACTTAAGATATCCTGTTGCAGTTTCACTTTCTTTCACTGCCCGCGTCTTCATTAATCGCGAGTGCTTTGCCGCAACTGGAGGAAAATATTTTCGCTTTTGTCGTCTTGACTGGGCCCGGTGCCGCGCAGTCAAGACGTTAATTTGATTTTGGCAGGCACTTGCACAAATATCCCGGCTGGCAACACCTTGAATGCGGGAGAAACTAAATTATCACCGGCCGTCCAACGGCATGGACTAACCATAAAAGGGGTAGAACGGCTAGCGGTCCGGCGGCGCAGGAAAAAGGTCGTTCGGTGGAAATCTCATCAACGGGAAACCGGAGACGAAACCGATTCGGATTGGGGACGGGGAAATCGAACACTCTTTGGGCTCTCCAGAATGCCAATCATCGATTGCCATGGTAATCCATCTTGCTAGTAGCGTGGCTCCGGGCCAAATGCATTGAGCATTATCCATCAACGTCTCTTTAATGACGAAATTCACTGTAATATGAACTCATGGTCTGTCTAATTCAACCAACTTAAGCCGAAGCATTTTGATTTACATTTTAGAAAGCAGAGATACGGTGGCTGTGTACTTCAAAATTATAAAGATCTCTGCATTTTTGCAGAGTTTATGAAAGTTCTTTTGTCATTCAGTAAATTTGAGTAGGGTTTTTTCCCTTTCTCTCAAAGATTCCTGTACACGTGGTACATCTATTTCCAACATACCCAAGATACGTGCCTTTCAACAAACATCTAGCAATCCCCTGTGAAACACCCTCTTCACAACGGCGATGTTGGAGAGTGGTGCAGTTGTGCAGACGTGGGTAGACCCTTCTGTGCATTCACTGTTTAACACGAATGAAACTACGCCAAAAAAATGCCCTCTAAGATGGCCGCATAGCACAGGGTACAAGTAGCCTACATGTAGATGCACATGAACATTTTCCCAGCACTGTCTTTCATTGTTATCAATCAATTCAGGCGTTTCACAATAGAGCGCTTCCAAGAGTTTGCAAGGAATGGACCAATCACAGTGCGCGAAATCTGCCGACCCAATGCACGTCTGAAAAGGGTCGACAAATTTCGTGCCTTGTGATTGGTCAACGTGTTGCAAACTCTTGGAGGCGCACTACGGTGAATCGCCCGTATCAAAAGTACAGTTGAAGTTCTTATTCCTAAAAAAGGCGTCTAAACAATTTTTCTTCTTCAAGTGCTGATACATGGATATGCACATGTAGGCCCACCGTACCAAAGTGTGAAAAAAGACGATACGATCTTCCATCTCTACGATGCATTTGTGATGAGGAGAGAACTCTCTCATAAACACAGACCCCCCTGAAAGAGAAACATCTGAGACTGTGGGGGGGCATGTGCACAAACTTACACACACAAAGATACACCAGCAATCGGTGTCAACCAAACCTGGCAAGCTGGATCAGTGTGGGTCTTGAGGATAACAGCCTCGCTGCCCTGCTGCAGGCGACAAAAGATGACCATGAATACCCATCAGCCACTCAAGGGAACGGTGGCATGGGTACCGAGGAAGTTTGGAAGCACATCAAGAAATCAAACTGATTAGTGTTGAGATAGTGTACAACTGAAGATTCCTCTGTCAGTCACACTGGAATCAATGCATCCAAAGTTGAGGACCGGTTACACGAGTACCAACTACAGACAGGGTGCACAAGCCCACTGCAAGTCCCTTCCAATCTCCTCGCATTCCTGAAACTCGGCTGTCGATAGTCGCACAAACAGTGACACAGATACATGCACCAACATGTGACTCTGTTTTTACAAAAACAGATTGAGAGGTTAATCCATCCACCAGAACCGATGACAAAAGTACCAATCAGACTCAGCACTGTGGATGAACTGCTTGCGCCCCCCCTTTAGCATTGGCTGTCAGGGATCAGTTGAGGCTCAACAATTCAATGAATCCATCGATCCTGAGACTATGAGGACTGCATGGAAGATAAACCTGTGGACAAGAGGCCCTGAAGCAGTGAGGACTTCTGGCTGCTTCACTCTTAGACTGTCTTCGTCCCGGGCTGGCTTTCGTGACACGTAGTCAGCCAGTCCACATGTTAGCACTTAGCAAGGCCTGCATGCATTTATCGAGGCCAGGAAAGAGGGAGGTAATCTCTCTCCATCTTTGCCATGCTCTGCTGGCGAAGAGAAACCGCAGTCACAAGGACTTTTACACAGGCTGGCACCAACACTGTAAGCGCCCCACGATGACTGATGCAAGCTATGAAAATTTGACGCGCCTGGGGTTGCATGACCTGAGGACCTTCTCTGTGCACGTGCACGGACATCCTGCCAAATGCCACCGGCCCGGTCATAACTCATCATGCACACTCCCTAGGCCCCTCTCCGCACGTCCAAGTGTCGTTTGTAGTTCATCAGAAGCTCTCAAAAAAAAAAGCTCTGTCTGCAAGCTAGCATCCATAACAGTGACTGTTAACCCCTCAAGATGTACATGGGCCACACTATTTTCACAGAGGGTGATATTTTCATTTCAGTATTCAATAGTAGTGTCTATTGTATACATGAAGTGGTTGATAGCCGCGTGAGATATTTCAACACTCAAGTGTATTGTTCTTTGGCTTTTGTGTTGATGATCAGCCGTACTTTTGCCACCAACTGGTAGGCAAAACTACGACGGTGACAAACGCAGACCTCAGGGGTGCATGTACATGTAATGTTGGACGTTCCTTTTTGAAATACCCGGGTTTCCACCGGGGGCCGGGATTTTTAAGTGTGGCAGTTGAGTACTTGAGCTACACCCTGCTGGAGTCCACATACACGTATCGTTACATCGAGGCTTATCCACCAGTCACTGTGACATTCACCACACGCACACGTTAGTCGTTTTAGTGCCGATCCGTCCCCGGCCTTGCAACAGCCATAATTGATTCCCCCCCCAATTTGGATTGCAAATAAGGTTTGAACATGAATGTCATCGACTCTTTTTCCAGTCGTCTCACGTCGCGATTCATCCAACATCGCTGTGCATGCCTGAGTGACGGTCCGGTTGAGGGGGACGGGGGGTAATTTATTAGTGCTTATTACACCCCGGGGAGACAAGACAGATGGCCAGATAGCGATAAAAATAGCAGCCGGGGGAGGGAATGGAAAGTTAAACACAATGGAAAATTCTTTAAAGCAGCGAGTTATCCAAAGGACTCTCCTCAGATTTTTTGACTAAATATTTCCAGCGGCTCGGGTCCATAAAAGCTTCCTGGTATTTACAGCTCACACCAGGGGAATTTCTCTATCAACAATTTGGATATTTTAGCCATTCTGCGGCAAATGTCATGCATCGTTAAACTGAGTCTGTGAAATCTAAGTTCTGGTGTCAAATAATGCATGTGACCTTATTAATGGAGAGCGCCGTGCTATTGTCAAATGACTTGACGTAACAATCAATAACCATGTCTCTGCAGTTCAGTCTGGATATAAAAAAGAATTTTTTCAAGGAAACTAGAAGCTCCCATTCTTGGTATGGTCAGACCTGTTATACGTATGCTGATGGGAAATGCATTTCTTTCAGAATTTACCAACAGCCAGAAATACCAAGCCATGGAAACTTGGCCGCAATTTAAAAAGCAAAACGTGGCTTCAAAATTATTTCATGTTACACCCAAAAATGACAACACTGAAAATAACCGTGACAAGCGCTTAGAACATGCATTCTAAATTGCTGATATCATTCATCCAGTACATTATCACAGATGTGTGTTAACCCCTGGCACTGGAAGAGCAGGCGACAATGGAACCAATCCTGCAAAATCCTCCACAAAATGTCCGGAGGGATTTAGAAGGTCCAAGAAGGTCGGGGATAAAAGAAAGAAAAACCAAGAAAGTTTGATCTGTGTTTTGACAGGATCCCTTACCTTCATCCTTCTTGGCCAGATTGGCATCCAAGTTGTTCCCCGAGTCCTTGGGCTGCTTCAAGGGTTCAACGTACTCCTTACCCGGCTCCCCGACCCCCTGACCTAGAAGGAGGAAAAAACAAGAACCGAGGCTTTCGATTAGACAGGTGAACTTCAGTGAAACTATCCTATAAGAGAGGATACGCTCTACCCCCTTTCCCAACCGTAAGGGCACCCCTGGTTCATTTGATGGTTCTCACTGGTGCCAAACCTTACTTTTGGCTCCAACCCAAGGGGGAAAATCTCTTTTTTATACTGTCGACCCCATATGGAATGTCCTACCAACAGGACAAAAATATTGCCAGAGCAACCCAAAAGTGCCTGTTTTCCACACTACTGGTAGGAAATTCTGGATCAATTCATTGTGAGGTCTCGTGTCAAGTGGTCATTCTTAATCTAACTTCAAAAGTGAAATGGAAGCAAGGTTAAAATAAAATGTCTTCACCAATTCATTTCAACTCTTGGTTGAGAAGTTTCACAGCCCCGGACTTCTTCGGGTGCGACTATTCTAGCGATGCGGGAAAGGAGTAATTGTTCCAACAGTACTCTGTCCGGTTTCGACCCCTGCCTATGAAAAATCCTGGGAACCTGCCTCCCCCAAATGCTCAGTGCAGGGTAAAAAAGACGTAGGAAAACATACCACTTGAAAAATTCAAAATCTATTAAGTACAGCATCCAGCTTCATTCTCAGTTTGGTTGCCGACACTCAACACCGTACGTGCGTCTGTGCCCCTCGGCAACATGGCCATTTCATTCCTATTACATTACACTACTTCTCATATCCAGCAACTGATTCTCTGACTAACCTCCAGGGGCAACAGGTATAACTTACAGTCCTGCCAAAACTATCAAATTTGAAATTTAAAATCATCTTTGATTCCCGACTCGGTTGATTATCATTTCAACTACTTGTCTGTCATTAGTAGTGCATATTATCAGCAATGCATTTAATCTGTTTTCACACTTTCCAAGTTCCTTTCTCTTTGGTTAATTCATATCTTTGCACTGTATCCGAGACGGCGTGCAACCAAAGGTGACAAAGATGAATGAAATTTCACGACCCGGGGATATTGGGAACAACTGTCGGTGCGTGGGTGACGAACACTGCTGCAAAATATGATCCCAGACGTCAATTCTAAAACGGGAGACGTGCGACAAGGGCCCACCGGATTGATTTGATGTTGAACTGTGAAAAATGAAATCTCCACAAAGGTCAAATGCAAGGACGTGCCCGAGGGCACCAGGGATGAATGCCAAAGTTTTGAAATCGACGTCGTTGCAAGTGCTGTCAAGCTACTCCTGAGAGCTCTCGTTGGGAATTGCTGATGGGGCTTCTGAAATTGTTATCGCATCAAAATGCAGTGCAGGGGTCTGAACCGGTCAAAAACCGGGCGACTGGAGGACACTCTTCTTCACCCGTCAACAATGAATCAATCAACTTTAATTAGCTCTGGCGGAGTCACTCTTCGCAAACGTTCATGACACACAGAACAGTGTAGAGTTGGTGAATTCAGATGCGCTCTTCAGAACTAAGTGACATCAAACAGGAACGTCAACTGGTCAAGTACCAACTGTAAGAGTCCTTATGCAAGGCCGACAAAACACTGACCAACTGTGCTCAGCAACTGGTGGTGTTTCGAAAATTTCTGCTGGGCACCAGTCACTCGACACATGCATCTTATGACATTTTGGCTGGTAACCCTTTTCTGGCGATCAAAGATTTCTCAGTGCTAATCACATTTCAGCTCCATGAAATAGGCAGTGAAAATGTAATAAATGGCCAAAAAGTCATTCATCCAGACGATTTCAAGATTTCTACAATCATGGATGAGCCCGTATCAGCAGTCTCAGTTCAAACTAGTAGCCAACAGCGTGCATCTCACCTTTGCTGAGGGGAGCCTCCGTCTTATCCTCCCCTGTGCCCTCCACGGCAGTCTCCGCACCCTCATCTTTCTCATCCTCCTTGTCTCCTCCATCCTCCCTGTCCCCGTCAACCGTCTCCTTGGTGACACCCACATCGTCCCCCTCAAGCTGAAGGATCTCATTGATGAACTCGTTCTTTTCCTCAGCGGTGAGGGTCTTCCAATACCCCCCGTCCAAATTGTCAAACACATCATACGGATTACCTTAAAGTACAAGGGAGAAAAAATATGACGAACAGACATGTAATTCTTCCGAGGTGTATTTCAATAACTAAAACCAATGTAGGTTTGCGGTACGGGGAATTTCAGAAATGAGGGGTCCAAAAGTGTGACATTTTCGTGTCCCTGTTACATCTGACCGTTGTTATTTGACGTGGAAATATCACCAGAATTGATTTCAAACTATTACTATTTGTTTGGCATGTAATTTGCACTAATTCATCACTCTTGGAAATAAGAAAATGTGTTCTGAACTTACAAAATCAGATGTGACTGGGACCCAAAAAAATAGACCCCCTAATTTCTGGAATTACCCATATCGAAGTGATGACCAGAAAAATGCATGCGTAGTGGTGCACAGACATAAACTTAAATACTTCAAAATCTTCACCTCCTGCTGGTCAAGCACTCACTCCATTCCACCCCCCCCAAAACAAGCAAGATCACATTGCTTGTTCATCGAGCAAACACAAAATTTGGCACTTCTGAATTTCTCCCTGGCACACCGTACCGGGATCAGAACAAAAAAAATAGTCTGGCGCCTCCACATTTGGCCTTTTGGATAAGCGCCGACTAAGATACATTCAGGGAACACGATCAAAATGGCTCCCTTGTGCATAAGGTCTATTGTTCATCTTACAAGTTATGAAACACGTCTACATCCTTCTCATCCACTGCCCTCCTAAAATATGACCGCATACCATATCATGCTGTAAGTCATCAGGGCAAAAAGTGTTCCGATGCTCTGTGTAAGTGGCATTCCGTTGACACTGCTCATCCAGTATTCCGTGACCAGACTTATGATTGACTTGACTAGTGCAGGAGAAGGTTGTAATTACACGCTACATGAATCATTTATGGTCTACAGCGGAGGACAGCATCCTGAACAAAACCTCGCAACCTGGAGAATGGGCAGTGTCGGCATCGCTCGGAGAAGAAGGAACGTTTCATTTGGCCGAACAGATCACGGGCAGGAATAACGTGTGTGAATGAATCAATTTCCGAGACAATTGAAAAAATTAACTGCGCCTGGTTTCAGATTGACAAGATCGGCAGGCGGAATTACCTTCTCCCTCCTGAGTTTGGTATGGTGGCTCGGCAACCCCTGTTTCTACGGCAACCGCATCCTCAATAGGCAGCTCGTTGTCAAAGTCACCATTCCATTCCTCCAGGAAGGTCTCCAGAGGATACGTTTCATCTGACGAGGACACGTACGAGTCTTCGGACGCTTCTGAGGATGTCACCCAGCGATCACGGTTCTCATTGTACAGGAGCTGATAAAGACCAACAATATCACAATAAAGATATGTGCTCAAGGTCACTTTCTTTCAAAAGATGTCACCTCTTCCTTGACTAAAACTGTAAAGAGCATCAAGCCCCATGTACAGTCAAAGTGGCCCAACACTACCTTCCCCAATCCTACAAAATCCTACAAAACTTTCTTCTTTCCTCTTCCCCCCAAAAAACACAAGGTTATTCCTTCTTCATGTCATGGCCGAGACAGACTGGATGCAACACCCTAGCCAATAGAAGCTTTGCATGGTAGCCATCTTGCAGGGCAATTCTTTTGTCCCAAGGGGAAACCTTCTTCGTGCATACCGGTACCTTGTGAAACAAAAAGCACAGGCCACAAGATGGCGGCCAAGCAAACCCCTCTATGATGCCATTCACTACAGATGCCGCTCTCCCGTCTGTTTTGAGCGCCCTCCCACCCCTGGCTTCATAAATGATAACATTCGACTTCAGGTCGTCATCTGATTACCTGCAAGTACTCCTTCAGGAGTCTCAGCTTGTACAGACCCTTCCAATCCTCATTGTTCCCGTACCCTCCGTTGCCAACCCACTCATCCTGTGAGTCCGTCTGCCCCTGACTACCCCCGGTCTCCGCCTCCAGTAGGCTCAGGTATTTCTGGTAGTACAGGTTGTAGAGCTTCCGCAGGTTCTCTCGCTCCTCGGCCTGCAGCCGGCGGATGATGCTCTTGTACTTCTGCTGCATCTGGGCGGCGTACGCGTTCAGCTCCGCGTCGTCGCCGAAGCCGTACTTCTGGACCAGCTCCTCGTAGGCCCGGTACCGGTCCTGGTACTCGTCCAGGACTGCCTGGTAGGCCTTGGCCAGGTGGTCCACATTGGCCCAGGCTTCCGCTTCGTTGTCGTCGGGGACTGGAGGGTTCTGCTGGTAGCCAGGGGGTCCAAGGTCAGGGATTATCGAGATGATACTCTGCTTGAAAGGTTGGAGGACTTCTTGAAGAGAATCCTGGAAGAAAAAAGGGGATTTTAAGAAAATGCTGACAGCAGAAAATCTTGGGTAACAAACCTTAGATCATCGAGATAACTCCCATTTCATATCATGAGAAATTTCAGGGATCGTGGGTCAGAGGTTACAGTCATGCTCGACCTACGGTACAAAAATGGAAGAACTCTTGAGCACGATTGCTTCAAAAAGTTATGGGGGGAAAAGAGGAAATGAAATGGCACCAAGAAAAAAATCTGAGATTGGAAAAACTTGTAATCACTCTGGATGCATCTCGTGACTAGTTCCAGGAGATGAGCATGAAAGATTACACGAAAGATGTTCTGCCTGCAACAGCAATCTTGATTTCCCCTTTTCCTTAAATTGTCTTTAAAAACATGACAACCATTCATTAAACACACTGAAAAAAAAACATTTTTAAGAATTAACAACTAACATTATCAAAATAAATTTCCATCTCATGAGAACTTTAAGGTATACAATATCCTAATTTATTCATGATCAGACCGGCTAATGCAAAATCTGACTTGAAAACTTTGCGGCTGCAGAATTGTGTAATGTGGAAATGTGTATGTGGCTGGGCTCAGGTGTCAAAAAAAAAAACAATGAGGGACCCCTCCGGCCATTTTTATCATGATGGAAGGCCATGTTTAGTAACAGTCTTCAAGGATAAATATTGCGGCAAATGGCGTCCGCATGCGGGTGAAAAGAAGAGATTCAATTTGGTTCAATCCTGCCTGATTTTCACAAACCGGACAGCGGACTGTGAAATATCTGAAAATATTATTGTTTTATCACACTTTAAACTGTGCCCCCTTGGGGTGCCATCCTTAATGCGCATATTGGACGTGATTATCTGTCATGTCAATCAGCTGATTCTACTTCTGTGACAAACAAAATCACGCGGCACTTGGTAAAGTCCCGCATACATAAATGTAAGTCCTGCCACCAAATATTTTCTTCCGACCGCTGCAAATGGTCCACTTTATATGACCGTGTATGACTAAGGTAAATTGGCCAAAGCTAATCTCGTTATTACATTTGAACCACCTTCAAAGACTGCCGACAGCGCTCCACAATCAGCCCCCCCCAAAAAAGCACCAGGTTTTTATCAGTTGCTATGTTCTTCAATGTACTAGCGGTGCTGTGAACCACTGACACAAGCACAAACCAGCTGTGCGTAAAACCGGTAGCCGGCGCTTTTACATTACAAGTGCATGTGTACACGGGCAACTGGAGAGGAGACCAATACTCAATGGAGCGTGTCGCCAGGTGCGGGACCTCAAATTGATGGCCTTAAAGTGGCAACCCCCCCGCCACCTCACATTCAATCTGCCACATTGCATTTTTGACAGTTTTGATGACGTCTGGTCTCTGACGAGTGCCCATTCATGTGTATGTACGTCAGTGAACGGCACTAATGTGGCCTTTGTGTGTTGCTTGTGAAAGCAGCGTCGAGTACACTTGAAATGAAATTGAATGTTTGGAATGAAACAAACGCTCAGTCTGCTCCTTGACGATGGCATTTACTGAGAACCTTTGTGTGATAAAAAACTGACAACATCGCTCAGTTTGGATTTGAACCCCCAACATTCTGGGTTTAGACGCCTTACCCACTCAATTGGTCAATGTCAGCTGACCAGTTTTTCAGCAAAAACTGCTTCATAAATCAGGTCAACAGAAGGGCAAATTCAAATTGACAACTCCCTTATCCAACATTCCACCATAAAATAGGTAGAGAGTATCGCCAGATGACGCGTGAACCGAGGACGCTTTGTCAACATTCCTTGCTCTGTACACAAATCACGTCCAAACCTGTTCAGGATCGGTAGGTAATCAACGTAATGTACGTCCCACATGCCAGCTCCTTTCTTTCGAAGTTCTTATAAAGTCACAGCACAGAAGGAAGGAAATTTCCACTACATCCATGTAAATGCCGCAGGGGATGTTGTGGAGGAGGGGGGGGGGAAAGAGTGTGATGACTGCATGACGCAAAGCTTCTATGAATGAACGGAAAAATAAGGTTGCCCGGGGCAACCGGAGGCCAATCACACAGGAATTAAATGGCTCCGCCGTCCGGCAGTGGAGCATTTTTTGTTCTTCTGTGCGTCAGGACAGTGCAGCACAGCAACAGCTGTTGGATATTATTGCGAGCTGCATCTTCAAGATGCGTTGTCAACGGCAACCGAGTATTATATGCACACCCGCGATATTAATCTTTCAAGCAAGCTTCTGGGGGTGTTTTTCTCGTAAAAACAGAAAAAGCTTCACAATTAATTTGTCTGTCTTGCTTCTCTTCATTTCAATCTAAAAATTGCAAAGGTGTACTCGGGCAGATGGGTACGTAGAGGTATGCAAAGCACCTTCCATAAAACGTGTCACACTGCAGGCTTATACGTCAGAAAGGTTCCACAAATCTTACAATCTACTAATTTTACGATTACTCAGCTGTTGTTTTCTGTTTCGCAAACTGATGCATTCTAATTTCATCTCTACAGGATGACAAACATGTTAGATTGAATTCAACAAAACCCTGTAATGAAATGGCTTTATTTTCATACACTTATGTACGCTTCACTGACTGCATGCGAAAAAATAATGAGTTTGTTCTTGTCATTTATTCCATGCCATCTGATTCAAATTGGATGATGTATTGCTAGTTACATGCACGACAGCTCATCTTTTTTTCATCATATACTCTCAGAAGAAATACCACACGTATAAGCGCCCGCCCAAACAATTTTTTTTTTTTCCTCCCTCGCTCTCCATACGAACCTGCGCGTATTGATCTTCCCAGGCAAATCCCTCGTCCAGCAGGTACTGGACGACGTCCTTCAACCGCTTCAGGCCGGGTGGGTCAAGTTCGTAGCGGGGCAGGTAGCTGGTCAAACGCTGCACGCAGGTGCCAAAGAGCTTGTCTGTTCCAAAATGAGGAAAACTCTTAAACATGTAGTTTGCAGAGAATGAATTGAGTACTCCGCATAAACATTGTTTCTTTTGTTGTGCAACATAAACCTTTGCCTTGTTTAAAAGGTCAGTGGCATATGGGGGGGAATGACCTTTCCCCTCACTTGGCATGTTGCCATTTTTTTTTTTTAGGAATCCAATGTGCAAACCTTTACAAATGGGAGGAAGCAATAAGCATGGCAAAAGGCAGCCTTACATGTACCTTGAAGGAAAAATTTGTTTAAAGTCATGACAAAACAATGGAAATCTCTGTGCGCAAAATAGTGCTTACAGTTAGCAACGTTTTGTGACATAGTAAGCATGACTGTTCTGCTAACTGCTAAAGTAAAGGCCACGGAATTGGACCTTGGATAAGCCACCGTTTCTTGGTTTGGCTGCCTATACTCTGTGGCCATTCCAGGAAGCACAATATTCAGGGAGTAAAAGGGAGACAGAGCTTTTGCCTGTGGTTTGGTTTGGGCGATATTCTACAATACTGAAAACCAAACTCTTCCTGACAATTTGATCTCTCACGTTGTACAATGTATGCCTTGTGCTAAATATGACGTAGCTGGGCTCTTTTCACCCAAGCAGATTGCCGGTTTCTAATGGACACTGTAGGCCCTACATTCAACGGGAGCACTGACAGGGTTCAAGGTTGGTTGAAGCAATGTGGCAACTCTTCACTTCACACCCACGCATGGTTGATCTTTTCATTTAGAGAATGAACAAATACCTCCTACCAATGGCAATGGACCGTACGCTAAAGGGTGATATACCGTTCTTCACTTTGCAAAGGCATCTACAATGTACCACACAAGGTAGAATTTTGTGTGCATAATCTTGCTGCTGTATCACAACTCATGAAAACATTGCGGATGTGGTTCCAGGACCGGGAGGTCTGAACCCGCCCAAAGCTCGTGCTCTTAAGCAACACTCCGTACAACAATGTGGTACATGTACATGTGGGGCTTGCAATACAGTTCAATATCAAGCCATGAGATGCCCTACTGATTCCTAAGCCTTGCTAATGGATCACAGAAGATGATGTCCCTAAGCAAGACAGTTTACAATAACCAGAGGTGAACCCCCCCCCTTCATCCTCATTCCAATAATTCTGCAGTGACCGCAGTGCTGGACTTACCTTCCGCACACACTTCATCTTCGCGGCAGATGGGACTGAAGCGACACCCTGAGAGTGGGAAAACAAAAGGAAATATAATCTTCACACACTTCCATCCTCTGATCGCAAAACTGACTTTTTTATTCTTAAATCAAAGCTGAACCATTTCAATGACTGATGCAAAATTGTTATCATTCTTTCCACAAATTTAAATGGAAGAGGATTGTTACTAGCTGCAAAGCACTCACAATTCATGTACAGGCAATATGGCACGGCGCCAAAAACTACCGGGGGTACAACATTTATTCTAAAAGCTACTGAAACCAATGTACATTGTACACGTATCCATGTACACCCTGTACTTCATATTGTCCTCCCTGATATTCTGAGGTCACCTCACTCGCACTTCTGCAACCGTATGGATGGGCTTGTTAGTCATCACAGAAATTGCTCATGAATAACACCGTCAGATATGGTCGTAGGTACAAGCACACGCGTATTATATGTACTGAAGAAAAGCACACCAATTGCTTGTTACTAGTCGGCGGCCTTCATGCTTTCCCACAATGATGAGGCCATTTAACATGGTTAATGATCAATGTGGGTTACTGTAGCAATTAAGGGTACGCTGAGGATTTGACCTCCCAAGTTAAATGGGCCTAACAACATTGCCTACGCTTACACAATCAGAATTGTTATGCCTTGAATTCTAGCTCTTGTTACCAGAAGATTTTGTGATGCTGACTTTCAAGGGCTAAGGATCTCTTAAGGGTCTGAGCTTTGAACATGCTGAACCAGCAACTGCAAGTTTTTCAATTTCTGACACATATACGTGCATTTGGATGTGACAAGCCCCCTTAAAATACTGCAGTTTCCATTGAAGGGAAGGGAGGATTTTTCAAAATGGTGACAAACTTTTCACTAATTTAACCCCAAATTTCTGCTTACCTGCAAAAAATTGACAGTAAGTCAAAGACGATGAATCAACCCTTCGTATCTTAAACAGAGAATTGGGAACATTTCCTCCGGATTTGTTTTGTTCGGGAAAAAAAATGTCTCGATTGTTGTCTAAGGCAATTTGTCTTGTTCTGCTCTGCAATCTGACAACCATGATGGATTGTGTAAAATGACACACCCAATGTTGACACAGCCTAGATTCAAATTAAAGAGTAATTACCAAGTGGGACCGACCGGTGTCACACTCACAGAACACGCACAATGGACATAGGCTGAGCAACACTGTGCGTACCGGTGTTGCAAATTAACAGAACTGGTGTTGTTTGTTAGTTCTTGTGTCGCGCACGAAATGTAACGTACCACACAGCAATCACAGGTAGGCCATCCGAGACATGTCACCCACACAGACACACTGAACACAACCAGCCAACAAATAGACCCAGTGCAATGTACACATGTGCGCTGTCTATGTACGTAGATGTACCGTACTCTGACACAGACAGAACAGAGGAGAGCAAATAAAAAAACACATCACAGCACACTGTGCAATTTGATATGTGTACACATGTACATGTCCGGTGACGTTAAATTTAAAAGACATATTGAACAAATGCATAATAACAGACACATGCATTTCCAAGGATGGATTTGCGCCGGGGAGATGTTAATTTCAGTGGAACGCTGTTATAACAAGGTTCCTAGGACCTCGCAAATTACCTTGTTATAAAAGTTACGTTGTATCATCAGTGACGGAAAGCAAAGAAAATCAAAGACTTGGGACCTAAAAATTGTCCTTGTTATAAGTACGCCCTGGTATTATCAGTGCTCTTTTTGTCTGTGTTGGATGGTAATTGTTAGACTTTCTTTTGGCCATGCCCAACGTGTATTAACCCTAACACTCCCAAATCCTCCAATTTCAATACGATTTTACATACACTTTTGGGGGTTAGGCTCAGTGTTTGCCTCTGAAGGCTGGTGAAAAACCATAAGCGTACTCGGGTAGGACTCGAACCCAAGACTTCTTGCTTACTAGTGCAGAAGTTTTAACCACTCGACCACCGAGCTTGCCGGTGTCAGCCAGCTGGTTCGAGTCAGATGTGCATGTAGCAGCGGGTACCGCGAGCAACTATCTCCAAGAATGGAAATGGAGTCCCACCCGAGTATGCTTGTGGATTTTTTCACAAGCCTTCGGGGGCAAACACTGAGTTACCAGTGTCAATAATACACATTGGGCAGGGCAAAAAAATCTAACAATTAATATCTGGAGAGAGTCTGTCAAATAATATAAAAATGAACTGAACAAGAAATGGAATATTGAGTCTCAATTATTCACAAGCAAAAAGTTCCACATCGCTGACACCGCACTAGATTAATCTCTTCAGTGACCACTTTGCATGTATACCGCAACACTGACAACTTCACCTGACATCCTGTGTTTTTATTTTTTTCGGTCAGGCATTTTGGGGTGACCGCAATACAAATTTGCCAGCCCATGACATGTGAACGGTAAAAGGGTCAAATGCAGATTGGTGGAGTGAGTCTCGTCAGATGAGAACAAACAGTGTGACCCAGTAGTTTTGAAAACTCAAAACTGGTTTAATAAAAATAATGAACAAACAAACCAAAGTGTTCAAGCAAGTGCGATGTTATTATGTTCCATGTATCTTTGTAAGTAAAGTTACTTTTGGCGAAGTCCAATTTCTGTTCAAGATCTGGCTAATTCATCATGTCTGAAATTCATTTTTACCCTGACATTATCATCCCTGAAATTCTTTGAACCAGCCTAACCTAAACTCTCCCCCGCCCCTGAAAATAAAGAAATTCCACAGCCCACACAAAGAAATGCACCCTTTTTTGCACCTAAATGTAGTTGTGGTTCCTTTACATTATTCATCTTTCAACAGTGATCAATTTCTGAAGGCATTTTTATGACCACAAATGTGTGAACGCATCCATGCTTTAAAAATCTCCTTTGCTATTCAAGAGCGAATTCAATACCACACAGCAGTCGCAAACTGACTTGCTTTCCGACACACTGCGACAGAATAACAGGAATTATTAGATCTAGTTTCAACCAGGCCACGAGACAAAACCCATCCAAAACCAACATATGGCTTTGAAGCATCGGCTCCTTAAAGAGCAACGGTAGGGAATGGAAAAGAGGAGGACGAGAAGGAAGGAAAAAAAAGTGAGCCAAAGCGACAACACGACGGAGAAATTTGCCCATCTCCAACGCCCACATTCTCTTTTTTTAACGCCTACACACCAGTCATTGTACGTATGTGTTGACTCAACACTGTGGGAAGGTCAGTTTCGGCCCCTCAATTGCTGATAACGCATGTATTCCGAGCAACTCGAACAATAGGGATTTCAACAGCACTGAGATAATTTTATATACATGTACCTCCATTTGCACCAGCTTCCTGGAGAAAGGGCGATGAGAGATGATGGAAGGGGAGCTCGGGGCAGGAAAGGAAATGTGAAATGAAATCGGCCAGTAATAACAAACTCAAATGGAAAAGTCACAAGTGCAAGTGGAGTGCAAATTATGTTTTCAAAAAATGTAACTCGGAATAATTTATGGCTAACCTATGATTCAAAATTGCTCCAGTGCACAGCTCCAATCAACTGCACGATTTTAAATATCCAGGACAAAAGGAGCACTAATCCTTCGAAAACTTACAGTTTAATGAACTCTTTTTAAAAATGTACACCGATGCTCTTATTTCAGAATGAGTACATGTCAACTGTTAACAAAATCTTCAATCCGTCCAAAATAAGAGCAAATTCCTATGTACAGTAGTTCACCGAATATTATTATGTTACGAACAATAGAAAATGTCACATCACAAACGGTACTCGTCAACATTTTTCTCCTTTGAATCAAGCACTGATACTGACGACAACAGTGGATATTCAATGTACACGTCTTAGATACCAGACATTACAGTACATGTACATGATGAGAGATCCTGATAGGAGTCATACATTTTATAATAAGGCCGACTTTGCATGTACCACAGGATGCCAACAGGTAACAGACGAGCAGGTGTCGTATTTTAAATGTCACTGAAAACGAAAGAGTGAAAATCCTCAAGACAGGCAGTCCCCTGTCTGTTTCTTATTTTCATTCCCTTGAGCTGATTAAAAAAAAAAAAAGAAAGCACTAATACATTGTACCTGCATATTTATCTGAGAACTTGCAAACAGAAGTTCACATCCAGTCACGTGTACATCACGTACCCAGTGCACTGGGTATCCTCATTTCCTTGATACCGGAATCTTGCCAAATCGAACAACATGCCGGTAATTGGAATGCACATCCCTTATATTTTCACAGAACGAGAGGCGTACCCTCATCTACGGTGGCACCTTGATTGTGACAGGAAAATAATTTGCGAGTGTCGAGCCACGCCTTCGGCTGGCGCGGGAATTGTATTTAAGTAAATTAACCTCGTCAAGCTTTTTTCATGACGTGCCAGTAACAAATATAACATGTGTTTTCAGCCATACAGTACAAGACACCAACGTGTTGGCACGGCAAAGTTCAAATGACAAGGTTTCATACTGGGCATGGAATGAAATAAAAATTTATTATTCATAAAGTAAATGTATGTGTTTTATGTACGTGTAGGAAAATTCTTTTCTAATTCCAGAAATGAGGGGTCCAAAAGTGTGCCATTTTTGTGTCCCTGTTACATATGGCCTTTGTCATTTGACATGGAAATATCATCGGAATTGATTTCAAACTATTACTATTTTTTTGCAGGTAATTTGCATTAATTCAACACCCTTGAAAATTAGAAAATGTGTTCTGAACTTATAGAAATCATGTCAGATGTGACGGGGCAGCAAAAAAATAGACCCCTTATTTCTGGAATTACCCACTAGTGAAATCATGCACGGGGTGCTACAGGTTTTTAATAACCAGAATCACACGATAGATTTACTTCAAAGGAAAACGCAAAGCTACTAAAAAATACCTGCACATGTACCTATAGGATCACTGAATTTCAATATTTCTAAATTTCAGAAATCAAATTTCCAAACTGCTTAAAACTGACATGCTGTCACAAAATTTACACAGGAAGGTTTCAAAAACCACATTTTCT